TTCGGATTGACATGTGAGGATTCCAGGGGGCGCCGCTCTGGCATCTAGGATTTCGAGGCGACTGTAAAATAAAGAGAGTGTGTGTTAGGTAACCGTGGAGTGCGGTTGTTGTGCTTTCTTTCGGCGCATTCGCGCCAACCCGCGTGTTCGGGCTGGTCGGTGTCCCCGCCGGCCGCGTACGTCTCCGTCGGCCGTCTTCTTCTTCTTCTGCTTCGTCGGGACCAGCCAGCCCCAACACAGCAATATGGGCATTCCACACTCTCAACAGAGACAGAGGATAAATCAGTTTCACTGTCTCTTTTCATGCAGAGTGAAGGTGCGTTTCACTCTATCCCAGACATTGCGAGAGTAGAACAACACTCCGAAGAGAAAATCAGCTTTTTTACTCTTGCGATACCCTCCGCAGATTTTAAAGTACAGTTGCGTCTGGCGGACAGCTTGGACTGTGTCACGAAGAAACCAGCAGATGCCTAATACCTGCAAAATATCGGCGGAACAGTATTCGATGCATGGGGCTTCATGAGTGGTGTAGTTCCTCGGCGCTTTTGCTCGCTCACGTCCACGCGCGATGAGATTCGTGAGTGGGGACTGTCTCGGCCTGTGAGAGAGTTTTGCTCGCACAATGTCTCTGCAAACGACTGGCCATGTCTCGGCCGATAACTGCCGTGTAGTCTCCGACAAGGAAGTCCAGGTTCCGACGTGCAATCTGGCATGAGAACCACAAAACCCACCTTGCAGCCTGCTTTTGTGTCTCCTGCGAGGCGTTCTGCTGTTATATTGTTAGGAGCATTGCAAGGCACAGGTGCAGAGTCGGAATGCTTCCCTACGGATACACCGGCAGATTGGCACTCTTCTCGAGGCCCTCATTTAATTGTGGTCACTGGCTGGATGACGATGAGTCTGGAAGCTGAAGTGGTGAATTGCTGCTTTAGGCTGCAGCCGCGAAGTGGAACTTCTCCTGAGTGCTATCCTCGATGGCAGTCAAATTGTACTGAGTGGTAGCAGAGAAGAGGGAAAGAGTCCGGACGAAAGCAGCAATCAGCTTGAAGCTCCATCCTGCCCAGGATTGCAGCCGCACGCCTTCGTTACCTATGCTACGCCGCGGCGGGATTTTGAAGGCGTTCTATGGCTACGCAGCACTTCTGCTATTCTATAAATGCCTTGCGAGCTTCGAGAGCACTAACGGTAGCCACCCAATCGTCGGCGTCGTGCTTGAAGTCGCGAAATGGCGGTAGTTCGCAGGCAGCCAGCGATGGTGATACAGCCGCTGAAACTATGGAGCATGTCGACGCCACGCAGCCCACTGGCTCCGAGATCTCCGTGAGAAAACACCGGACTGTACGAGGGTGCTCAAGTGAACTGGCCCATTGATACCCAACATGGTATCAATGGCACACAATTTGGGCACAATCACAGGTAGAGCGCCGAACTCGGCGTTTTCAAGGCGCTCATCGTGACGTGGAATCGCGCGATCGTACGGGAAATCTCGGCGGCGCTTTCTAATGATCTACACGCAGAACACTGAAAGGGCACGTACGAGGTAGGCAGTACGAAGTAGCCACTCTGCTCTCTGCGGCAGGATTCTCAGATTCAGCGTGAAATGTGCCCCTCGGCAGCTTAGGTGCCGGCGAAGTCCTGAATGATAGGCTGCCACCACGGGAAGGTTGAATGGCGTTCCTGGGCAACAGAAGGCCGTGCGCTGCCGTGGCTACGCCACGATGTGCCTGCCCTTTGGCGAGTGAGCAGGCCTGAACGCCGCCCTTCAGTGATGGCACAGATGAGTTTGACACTAGGGGGTACACAAGCTGCAACATTGTGGGCGTTTGTTTTACGCAAACTCCACAGCACCGAATGCCCTCGAGGACTCACTCATGTTTCGCTGGTCATAGGGCCGTTCCACATGCTTCCCGCACAGCCGCAACGCACATGCCGGAACCCCTACTGCACGCAAACGGGGGACAAATAAGCCAATTGGCGACGCTGCGGAGGGTGAAAGAGCGTTGCCAAATGGCTTATTTGTTCCCCACTTGCGTGTGGTAGGGGTCCCGGCACGTGCGTTGCGGCTGTGCGGGAAGCACGGGGAACGGCCCGTAGGCTAAGCCATTGTAATGAAGGAGACTGGGTCAACACAGTACAGCACTCGTTCACTAGTGATGATGGCACAACCTACCACGGGGGATCGGCCACGAGGCGTGCGGCAGTAGAGATTGTTAGACAAAATAAAAAAATAATAAAAAGAAGAAAGGGAAAGAACAAAAAGAGGGCTAAAATATTCGAAAAAGGTAACTTAAACAAAAAAATATTTGTGATCACTTTGGTATCTCTTAATGCAATGCTACCTAAAGTTTTATATAAACTCATTATAATGTAGTTAAGGTAAATGCATAAATGAAACATAATGATTCAGACGTACTGCTAGTATTAGCATGGCACTCTCCTTGATTCTTTTAAAGAATTATACATAGCATCGTAAATGACCCTGTTGCAGAGCCCTTGTGCCAACATCACCATAGAAAGCAATGCCAATGTAGAAAGCTTAAGGCCCCTTTTTTGAAAACTTGGTCTCAGACATCTTTGCTTTAGATTCTAATATCTTGCACACTTCATAAAGAAGTGCTCGATTGTTTCTGCTTCAATACAAAAGAGACATTGGGTGGAAGAAATGAATCCAGGCCTGTGTAAGTAAAAATTCATTAACGGTAGCCTGCATCGCAACTTTGTTAACGTAACTTCCAATTGTCTTGTGAGGCTTCCACAGGATACCTAAGCGGCTGGAACCTTGTTTCGCGCTGCACAGAAGATTTTGTATGTCCCTCGTGCAGAAAAAGCTTTCTGAATCATGCGAACGTGTTATTGCGGGATGGTTTTAGAATGCTTAGGACAGGTCCTTCAACAGATGCTGCCGCTAGGGTGTCCGCCGCTTCATTTCGTTCTAATCAAGTGTGGCCCGGTACCGAAACCATCACCGACGTTCCGCCCTTATTTGGAATATGCGAATGAAGATCTGCGAAGCAGCTCGACGAGTGCGATGCTCCTATAGAGCAGCGCACACGGACAAGGAGTCAGTGAGCACCACTGCTGAAGAAATGTGTTCTGGGAGTTCGCACAATTCAAAAATAATTGCCATTATTTCTGCCTGAAATATTGGTGTGAAATCAGGCAAGGGAAGAGAAAAGGCCCAAATAACATCTGTTGAATAAATTTCCACTTCCGGTCTTCATGTCAGCTGCAGAAGCATCTGTGCCTACTACTGAATTTATTTGCAAGCTCTTGAGGTGGTCTTACAACAAGCCTTCTAAATATCTGGTGGGTAATAGTTTATCGCTTTTTTAAACATATATCTATTACCCCTGCGGGAGTAAGTACTTTGGAGTAAGTTATATCACGTTGTAATGGTGCGAACAGCTTCTCCGCGAAAATTGTTTGAGGTCTATGCAGCCTAGACGACTCACATTGAAAAAAATGTGCACGGCTCATTTAGCAAAACACATTGCAAGCGCCTGCATTGGGTAGGCATATATGTCTAGATACGTGTCCACTGTTAAGATTCTGAACCTAGTTTGGAGAGAACGCAGGTATTCTTCGTGATAATGTATATTGTTGGCTACAAAGTTTGTAAGGCCGAGACGTAAACGTGGCGCCTCACGTTCTAAAGTTAAAAGCGGGCGTAATATATATTAGCGGCTGCCTGAGTAAACAATGTTCACCCAAACTCATGTATTGCATGTACGTCTTCCCAAATTATTGGGCAGACGTACATGCAATAGATCATTAACAATGTTTTTCTATGCATTCCAAACCGACTGCTGCTGATTCGCCCTAATGATTCAACTGCACGTGAACATGTATCTGCGTTTTACTCATTGTGAGGCTCCAAATAAGCTCAGCTGTGTACCTTATGCCTAGTTATTTCAATGAATCTACCTGAGGAATATAGGCCTGTCCATAGTTATTGAATTCCACACGTAAAAAGTGAGCGGGTAAGCAAGACGGGCAATTTTGTTAACATTCAGAGACAAATTCAGCCTATTAAGCCACTCAATGTCATTCAATGTATAACAAGTATGCCTGTACAATGTTGTACAGCGAATGTATATCGCTGGAAGAAGCAAAAAATGCAATGTCTCTTACGTACACGTACACTTGCAAATCGTTATGCAGAGGAATTGAGCTTAGTAATATATTAAATAAAATGGGCAAGGGAACTGACCTTTGAGGAACTCGCCTTGTTTGTTCGTATGTTTTAAAAGATGAGTCATTCTGCGAGCAGTAAAATGTTCAGTCCGCTTGAAAAATTTTGTATATGCACAATTATATACTCGGGAACCTTGGTGCTTCGCAGTCAACTAATCAATATAGTGTGTTCTACGCTGTCATTTGCTTTAGCAATATCAAAGGTCACTAAAGCGGCGTATTGGTATTTATGAAGAGCAAGTTTACTTCTACTTTCTACAGCAGTTTTGTTATGTCAGCTCCTATAGCGCGCTTCCGCGCTTTAGCAGCGTTGCGATCGTTACAACATACGTATACATAAGACAAGAGGACAGCAACGGCGATGACAAAAATCCACCTATAAATCCCATATTTCAAAAACTTCAGCGTAAAAGGTACACAGTGGACGATTATATACGGGTATATACCCGTGACGTCAGTTAACAGCCAAAGCACAAATGTTGAAAAAACTAAACTAAAAACTGAGAAGCTCTGCAGGAACAACACGCATGGGTGGATTTAAGTGAAGAGATCATTTTTGTTAGTGCGATAGATGGCTCGCTGACGTAGCTGCCACTTGCTATCGTCGCCGGCTCAATGATTAGCCTAGTGCTATTATCTGGGTGAGTTGCCAACAGTGTTTATTCGTCAAATAACCTGCTTTCGTGTCCATATTGTTGCCATACGAATAAAATGACGCGGGCGACGACTGCTGTACAAACATTTTTCGTACCTTCAGGCCTCCGTCTTACCAAGAAATTCTGGCATGTTTCATTTCTTTTGTGCAGCACTACTATTACGACTTCGACATGTTGCAGTCCTTCGACAGCTCCATTTTGAAGGATCCCGTGATATCCATTGACACCAAAGGAAAAGTACCCCGAAAAGCAAAAGGTAAGTCACCGAAGTATGAAGTACGACACTTTCATCCCACACCGCACACATGCTACAAATTGTCATAATTGTATGATGGCATTACAGGTATTTCAAATGTGAACGTCTACAAGTTATTTGTAGACAGTACGTTTCGTAAAAAAAAACAGCAGTTGTAAGATATCGCTATAGGTAAGGAGCTTTTATGGTGTCAATGAATATGCTAAAAACCTGAAAAATTTATTCCCTTTAGCCCCTGAACTGCATTTTTTATATTCCGGTCAAAAAGTGTCTCTTTTTTACTTATTTGAATTCTGATTGTACTAAAAAGTGACTAGTTGATGTTGTAACTATTTATCCCGATTTCGTCAAATTAAAAGAATGAAGTTTATTTCTCAATGATACACAGAATTCCAGCTACTTGCTGCTAATAAAGTTAATAACCTTACAAAAAAATGGTTACAAACACCACATCTTTTTCACATGCGTAGGCTAAACACCCTGGGGGTATTTCACCCGTGAAGCTTCTGGGTTGTGTGGAAAATTTCAAAACGCGGAATAACGCAAGGCGGCTTCCTTGTGGCGGGCACCCGCAATGTTCGCGTCCGAGCTGTCTTCATCATCTTCGGAGGAGCTACTCTTTCACTGCCATCGCTGTCTTCACTTCCGGACACAAGATACGCTGTACTCAAATCATCATCACTCGAAAAATATGACAAAAACGAATAGCGGCATTTTCGCCATTTTCTATTCAATATAATGAATGCGTTATGCGATCTGAACGAGTAACACAATTCTTGCACTCCTTTTATTTTACCTGGGGGGTCTTTTTCTTATTTTTTTCTGGAGGCGCGTGGTATCAATATCAAATATGAAAAAGGTCACACTGAATTAAGTCATCCATTCTTGGCCGATCCCTGTGAGTGGGTACGAACAATAGCTGTTGTTCATCATCATCATTATCATCATTGTCGTCGTCATCATCATCGTCGTCGTTGTCATCATCATCATCGTGTTCATGGGCCAACTATGAATGGGCCACCGCCACCGCACGCCACCTTTGCATACAAAAACCGTGCTCTTGCCTGAATCCTCGAGCGAATGGTACCATCTTGTTAATTACACGCAACACACAAGTATGGACCATCTCCCCGTAGGGAACCATAAGGGGATACAAAGCAGCAGCGGTGCGCGCGTCGTTGTCCCGACTGAAACAGACGTTGACGCGGGTGCTGGAAGAACGGTTTAAAAGTGAAACTCTGTGTAGCCTTTACTCGAGTAAACTTTTTTTAAACGCAAAGACACGGGAGTCAGGTTGGGTTTTGCGTATATTTCATGACAGATAAACGAGCTGAAAGAGTGTTTCCACTCAATGTGCACTCGAACGTCGAGAGCGTTGGAGAGGGTGAAGGGAGTGAGATGACACGGGGCGAGCGACGACAGGCTAGGAAGAAGAGTGACGTCAACGCGCATGCACTGTGAGAGAAAGCGTCACCTACTTGGCACCGCCCCAACAGCTGCGGCCAGGGGGCGTGGTGCGGACAGTGGGGCAGCTTTACACAGGCTTGTCAAAGAGCTGATTCGCATCAAAAACTGCCATAAATACACACTTAATTCTCCACCTAAGCCCTAGAAATGAGTACCTATTCCGCTAGGATGAGTTCTACTCGTTTAAAACACTTTGATGACAGTGCGAGCAGGACGAGCCTTGCTCGTCTAAAGCAGTTAAGGGGTTACCTAACACTATGGATAGCATAGACGAACGTGGACGCGTTGACAGGATATTTTTGTTCGTTTTAACAACAATATTTGTCCTTATTCTTTCCATACGGAAGGGGCAAGTGACCAGAGACCAAAAGCTACGAAACTATAGCTTGATTGCGCCTGACGCGCATCAGAAAATACCTTCATGCGACATACATGGCACAGAAAACGAAAACGCAGAAAACGAGCGAAATCGAAAGCACTGCACATACAGGTGTGAAGGTACATAAAATAAGCAATAAATAAAAAAATAAAACGGTACAAGCTGCAACAAAAAATGAAGTTGACAAAAAAAACAACCAACCTGTACACTGCATTTAAACATTTTTTATGTTTTTTAGATGTTAGGGACAATAATAATGAGACCTAACAGACAATCATTCCGATTTAAGTATTGGGGGTGTTATTGAATGTGGTTGTAATGGAAACGCGAGGAAAGAAAAGTGGACGAAAAGATAAGTTGCTGTGGGAAGGGACCGCACCGGCGACCTTAAAGATAACGCGTCCGATGCCCCACCAACTGGCTACCTCGGCGGCTATCCCTCCGTCCACTTATGGAATATGTATGTGCATTAAACGTGGGAGCATCAGTCAACGTCAGTCAACGTTAGGCTGAATATGCGACTATCGTTTCCTTCATGCTTGTTTAAAATCGTTTGCAGGAAAAATTTGAGGGCTTATTTTCGTAGTGGGACTTCGTACGAGGTAGAGTCCTTATCAGCATTTCTAGTGAAAACGGTTTTGTCTTTTAAGTTAAACGTAACTAAAAATATCAAAAACTCATTACCACAGGTGGTGAAAACCTCAACACAATAGCCTATTTAGAAAAGTAGAGATACACGCATAATATAATTAAAGAAGAACATTCTGGTGTGATTGACAACTAGTAGCGGTCATATGCTTCGAATGCAAGTAGTCTGTTAATGTTAGTTCTTGATGTCGTGCCTCAACCCAAATGACTAATTTATGTGCGATTGAAAAACAGTATGATAGATTGTTAGCTTAAAGCGGGCAGGAAAATTGAAACCACATATGGAACGGAAGCCGACCGCTTGACGCCAATTCTTTTAAATATGAGCTAAGTGATTTGCTTTGCGATAAGCATTGGTTGCTAGTCCAGCGCCATGTTTTTGTTTCCCCCTTGATCGTACCCTCCTTCGCGCTGTTTTATGCTGGCGTCATACGGGCATTTTAAATCGTGATCAGCATCTATCTGGATTAACCACGATCCAGATTAGGTGCTGCTACACGGCCACTTTTAATCGCGATCAGGCCCGATCGGCATCAAAACTATTGCAATCCGCACATTGCGATCTGGCCAAGAGATGGCGATTTCACTGTCGTCTGCACCCCTGACCAAGCTTGTTGAAAGCAAAACAAACAAGAAAATCAAGCATAGTTCTATAAAAACAGATTTATCTACATATTTATTTTAAAAGAAGTTTTAAACTGTTTCAATTGAAGAAATCTCTTTAATATTGCGTATTTTAATATTCGTACTGACCGCATGTAGTTATGGGAGAAGCAGACGATAAGCAGACAAGTTCAACTCTCGCACCGTCAGAGCAGTTGAACCACCTCGAAGCACATCGATTATTAGTGTCCCCAGCTTTTCGACTACGTCACAGTGTACGCGCACTTCGTAATCGAATGAAGACATGTTTACAGTAATTTACCGCTGGCAGGAGCAACTGAGAGGCTTCAGGCACCAGAAGTGAAACTCCGGCGAGATTGCCGTTTCGCAGCGAATTGACACCTATGAGCCGGTGCCATCAGAAATGAAAGTGCAGATTGAGATTCTCGCACAGCAATACAGGTAGGTGCAGCGAAAACTCTAGCGAATGACGTATTTAATAAAGTATGTTTGTAGTGGCACGCATAGTTTTTGACGTTCGAGTGGTTCTTGCACGAATAACATATTGCTGATAAATGGCTCTATTGAAATATTATATATTCTCTTCACTACAATACGCTCAGTTTTGCAATGACATGTTTTACGGCATGCAAGTGCCACCTGGTGCATTTCATCTTACCGAAGCTCGAAGCGTATTAGCTTGGGCCATGTAACAGTGGCAAGTTCATCGCGATCAAGAAAACCGAACCGGATTACCCTGATCGCCAATAAAAGAACCCGTGTGACACCTGTGCTACTCTTCAGCAATGTGATTTTACCAGCTTACTGACGAATGGAACAACATAGCGAGTGACCTAAAAGAATCTGCTGTGTCTACTTGATTTTTACAAAGCACTAGACAGTTTGTAGGGGCAACTACTATATTTTGTGCCAGAAAGAGACAGGTCATCTAGGGTTTATGAGCAGTCCATTCGGTCTTGGCCACTCCTTCAGGGCTTTAAAAGGACAATAAAGAGCAAAACAATTTTTTATGCAGTAGTAACGAACAATTGCACAATCCCGAAAACACCACACTTACTGCGGCACGACGCTTCGTAAGCGAGAATACGGGCGATAGGAAAACGCGGGTGGAGGCACCATTCCCGCACCAAGCACCGTGACGTAGTAAATTTTGAAGGCGTCTACTGGGTCCTGCAAAGCTTTCACTTCATAAAAATGAAGTGCTTTGTCATATGTGAGTGCCATAGACCTAACACACGAAGTTTCGGAAGATTTCACCGTTCCAATGTTGTGAGCATGCGAAAATGCGTTTTGTTATTTGTTACGTCACGCACGGAGATTTTGGCGGGAAATTTAAAAATGAACTTGGACCTTGACTTTTCTCAACAACAATGAACTTATGTCACTGAAACTGGTCGCATTTAATTTATCAGGGTGAAGATTATCAATCCAAATTAAGTAATTGCTTCATTTTAGTGTCCCTTGAAGAACAACATTTTCTCTTGTCGGGGGCGTGGCCGCTAAGAATACTGCTTGTATCGTCGGCATAAAGAATGAACTGTGGGTCGCTAGACGTGTTGATTATATTGAAAAATGCAGGAGGGCTCAACCAGGCAAGGCTAGCAGAACCGTTTATTTTGTGGTATCTCGCTCGACGTGAAACACCAACGAGAAAGAAGAATAAAGATTATGATAGTTATGTACAAGTGAAAGTGATGAAGTGCGATAAATGTGCTTACAGTAATATTGTTGTAAGCATTAAAAATAAAAGGAACGTAGAGGCGGCTACCTTCGAAGCACCGCATTTGATTGACGTATTTGAGCACCGATTCGGTGGACTGCACCACGTCGGAGATGGAGACCGTGATCAAGGCGTGGTTGCCAGGGTCTTGCGACGGACGATTCGGAGGAAGCGTCGTTGTATGTACGCCGAGCGTCATACGCAGCGTCGTCGTTGTATGTACGCCGACTGTCGTACATAGCGTAATCCGGCTGAGGAGGAAATGTTGAGCGCCGCGATAGCAGCAAACTCTGTAGACGTGCCCTGCTTCGCCACAATGATAGCACACCGGTTAACGGTCAGCGGTGCGCCACAAATCGGTTTTCCGGCGCTGGTAGTTCAGTGGGGGTTCTCTGTTGAACCACGGTGCGCTGTTCGGGGGTCGACCGTATGGAATTCTTCGGGTTGGTGAGACCAGTGCGTTTGGCGGTGATAGGATCGACTGCGTATGAAGGGTAGGTGGTAGACGAGTCGCTGGATCCGTCGTCGTCAGAGGAGTGATGACGGGACATCGGACTGTATCAGCATAAGTAAGGTGCCGTTGCACGTCGCCATAGCCCGGTGACAAAGAGCTTGACCCACCTCTTCTCGGACAGCATCAGCAACAAACGACAACGCCGGCTGTTCTAGTGGTGGAATTAAACCGAGCTGACGAAGCTCCTCTCGAAGAATCTCTTGGATCACATCACGTAGAGGCTTGTCGTTTCCGCACTCTGTAAAAAAATTACTAGGTCGGAGTAAAACGCTTGTCCTCTAGGATCCACCCTATTCGGAGGAATTTTCGCTCCGGCAAGCAGGAGGAATTGCGACCCGGAGTACCTTTAACATATATTTCACTCCAACCAACTGGAGCAACTGTGTAACGCCGCCGGAGTATACTTTTTTACTGGCATTTCCCACCGGCTAGCCGCAGTGATTACGTGACACCTCCGGAGCGGTTTTTGCGGGTTTTTCACTCCGGCTATCCGGAGCTTTTGTGTGGTACCTCCGGAGTATTTCACAAACGTACCTACTTTATCCCGACAAGAATTTCATAGAGGTGGATCAGTATTTTTTAGTGTTTGCTCCGCTGTTTATTTATTGTATGCTGATCTTTTTGGTTAGATGAAAGAAGTGTCAATTCTTATGCATGCACTGTAGAGTTACTGTTTGTTTTCCACAGACCTCTAGCAGATGAAATAAAAAAAACTTAAGTTCCTATTCTTTGATTTATTCAAAATAAGCTGCCATTTCTGGTTGATTACGTGGCATTTTGAAAAAGAAGACAAGAATAAAACAAACATGCAAAGAGCCAACAAAAATTTAACACAAATATGACAGATCACATAAAGTCAACAGGACTCAAGTTTGAAGCGCGGCGCTTCAACATGAAGCCCAAAATGCTGCAAAACAGTGCTCGACTGCCACTTCTAACAGCCACTTCTAATGATGTATACTTTCCCAACCTATTCAATAAAGTTGCGAGGAGAGCGTCACCATGTTTGTTAAAAGCAATGTTATCCAGCGTTTCAAGCTGAATTACTTTTCGGCAACCTACCGCGTACCGCATAACATGAAAAATATTCAAATTTTGCTTCTTCTACACACATTGAGCATATAAAATCTATGAACGTATATTGTCAGGTGTCCAAAAAGCTTGTTGTAAAGCTTTCTGGCTGAGAAAACGCGAAGGTGCTTAATCAACTTCAGAAAAAATCGAAATACGTTAGTTTAAGACATCTTCATAAATAAAACTACTTTGTGACGCATTCAGCACTATATAATTTAGCTAAATGCATTGTAGATTTTTCTTTCAGCCTCAAACCAAGCTATTCCTGGAAAAAAAAAGTCTGGTGCTCAACACGCACAAGAAAATTCAATTGGCTTTTAAACTAGATAGCAACAACGTACTCTACTAAATACGCGATATGTGATCACTGCGTTAGATTAAAGAACACTGATTATATAAGTGGGTTTATTGACTAAAACCAACTGCCTGGTTGCAGGGGCGTCAGTCACTGTGACGGACTCACTTCTTCGTCGTCTTCTAGCTGCTCCGACTAAATACTGTCTCTCTCCCTCTTCCCCACTACATTTGCCCCGGTGGTGAAGAGGAGCTATCCTGGCAACTCACGGCGAAGCAAGCACAAGGGGATCATAGTAAGGTCTTAATCGGCTGATGTGGACTGTCTCATGACCACGGCATCGGCAGGTGTCACTGGTTCGACGACGTACTTCACCGGTGACGTGCATTGAACGATGCGGTACGGATCATTGTACTTGGGTGCAAACTTTCGGCAGAGGCCGGGAGACTCGAATGGAACTGAAAGCCATGCAAATGAGCCGACGGGGAAGCTGTGAGCAGGCTTGTCTTGGTCAAGCCGTTTTTTTTTTTTTGAGACCTTGGGCGACGTATGTAAAGGAACATGCTGATTGGCGGCACTCTTCGGCACACTGAACAAGTTCGGAGGCTGGTCCGTATTCTGGAACATCTGGGCAGTGAGTAAGTATTGTGTGAAGCGTAGAAGAGGGCTCGCATCCGTACAGAAAAAAAAAGGTGAAAACCCAGTAGCTGCTTGCGTGGCCATATTATACGCATATGTCACGAAAGAGAGCAACAAGTCCCAATTAGAATGGTCGGAGGATATGTGCATAGAGAGCATATCACCGAGCGTGCGGTCAAAGCGCTCCGTCAAACCGTTTGTCTGGGGGTGATAGTTCGTAGTGGTGCGATGAATAATACTGCATTCACTGAGAAGCTCCTGGACAACTTGCGATTGAAACGCGCGCCCACAGTCGCTAAGCAGCTCACGTGGCGCGCTTTGACGAAGGACAAAGCTATGCAAGATTAACAAGGCGACATCACGAGCAGCAGTGGCTGGCAAAGTGGCGGTTTCAGCGTAACGGGTTAGATGGTCAACGGCCACAATACTTCAGCGATTTTTAGCAAGAATACAAGGTAGTGGCCCGTAGAGGTCGATGCGGATTCTATCAAACGGCCGAGCTGGACCCGGCAATGGTTGTAATGCGCCAGAGGCATGGCAAGTTGTTTTTTGCCACTGACACTCAGTGCAGGAACGTATGTACTTGCGAACGTATGAGTACATTCCACGCCAGAAAAATCGCTGGCGAAGCCATTCGTATGCTTTCAATACGCCAGCGTGGGCGTTTTGAGGCTCTGCGTGGAAGTACAGGCGGGTGCGATATGAAGGTAATCGCGCGAGGGTCGACAAAGAGCGAGAACAGCGCCATGGCCCAGAATTCTTTTTTTCAGGAGAGGGAAGCAGTAGGCAAGCTTCCCTCACTCTTTTTGCTGTTCCTGAAGCTGCGGTCACTCCCGTCCGAAGAAGGTGTTTTTTATTTCTTTTTTTTCTTTACTGGCTTCCGATAATAGAAGAGGATGGTTGCTGCAGATAACAAGTCCGGCCAAATGACGCCCCTCGGCGCATGCGTCATTGTAAAACTTTCCTTCTTTCTCTCCTCTTGCTTTCCTATATATATTTCCGAGCTCGAAATAAAGGCTTGTTGGTTTGCACTGCCACATCGACTGATTTCCTTGTCACCGCGGCCGGCCTATGGCCGGTAGAACGTAACAGTGGCGACGAGAATTCTACAGCAGCAAGAAGGCCAGCATATGCCCACAAGCGACGGCCTGCAGAACGAACCCACCAGCCATGGCACACCAGCTACCGGAATTCGAAGACGCAAAAGATAAGTGGCAGGCGTACTTGGTAAAGGTGGAGGCTTACTTTGAAGCTAATGATGTGAAGGACGATGCTAAGAAGAGGGCCCTGCTGGTAGCCGCGCTTGGAACAAAGACAATTGAAATCTTGAACGGGAAAGTAGCGCCGAAGAAACCTAATGCTCTGACCTACGCGGAAGTTGTGCAGACGTTAAACAGCTACTACGACCCAGTGCCGAATGAAATTTCAGAAAGTTTCAAATTCTTCCATCGCTGCCAGCAAGAAGGGGAGTCTGTGCATGCATTTATTGTGGCAATTCGACAGATGGCCCAGAATTGCAACTTTTCGACGATGCTGGACAGAATGATAAGGGACCGTATTGTGTGTGGAGTCAGGTCCAAGAATTTGCAAAAGCAGCTGCTAGCAAAGAAAGACCTTAATCTTCAAGAAGCCGAGGCCCTTGCCCTGGCCGCAGAAAGCGCCGAACGCGATTCGCAAGGTATTACTTCGGACAAAGAGCAAGCGAGTTTGCTCAAGTTGAGTGCTCAATATGAGTCGCGCGCGAAGACGGCGGGCGTACAACAATGCAATTGTTGTGGAAAGCAGGGTCACAGAACCAATGCTTGTCGCCTAATCCAGCGCAGATGCTTCAAATGTACACGGCGAGGGCATTTAGCCAGAATGTGCGCGGTGAACGACAAAACAAGCAGAATGCTAGCAGTGACAGCACAGGCGACAGAAACGGAAGACAGTGATAACAGTGCGTCGCAGATTTGGTCGTTGACCACTAAGCGCTCGCTCATACCCCCTATAAGAAAGGAATTCGCGTGGAACGGCATTCAAGTAACGATGGACATCGATACGGGCTCGCCTGTTTGCGTCATTCCTAAGAGCATCTACGAGACGTACTGTCATCAGTGGCCGCAGCTACAGAAGTCAGAACTACAGCTTTCATGCTATCTGGGCAGACTTCCGCTTCTCGGCGCAATAACAATGCCGGTTTCCTACGAAGGTACAACAGTGCAATGTACTTTGACTGTTTTAGACTGCGAGGGGCCCAGTCTTTGCGGTCGGGATCTGCTGAAAAAATTAACCGACGAATGTATCCAGGTTCTCAACGTGTATCCGCAGCCTTCAAGGTCAAGCCAAGCCCAGGAGGTCATTCCGAAGCTGCTCCAGAAAAACGCTGACCTTTTCACTGAGGGCACTGGTCTCATGAAAGGTCCGCCGGCCCGACTGCATATCAAGACCGGATCAACCCCCAAGTTTTTCAAGGCAAGAAAAATTCCTTTTGCACTTCGCGATAAAGTGTCAAAGGAGCTTGACAGATTAGTATCCGCTGGCATAATCTCTCCAGTTCCTCATTCCGAATGGGCGACGCCCATTGTTCCAGTTTTGAAGAAGGACGGAACGGTGCGCATATGCGGTGATTTCAAGGTGACTTTAAACCCAGTGTGCGAGGTTGAGCAGTACCCATTGCCTGTCATAGACGACATATTTGCAAATTTACGTGGAGGGAAGAAATTCAGTATATTGGACCTTCGCGATGCATACAACCAGGTCGAGCTAGATGAAGACTCGCGGAAACTAGCAGTGATAAATACACCGAAGGGGCTGTTCTGCTACAATAGATTGCCGTTTGGCATCGCGTCAGCTCCTGCGATATTCCAACGGAAGATTGAATCGGTGCTACAAGGGCTGCCAGGGACACAGGCATATCTGGATGATGTGCTGATAGCCGAGAGCAACAACAATGAAAATGCTAATCTGGAAGCAGTGTTGCAGCGATTCCGCGAGTACGGCATCAAGCTTCGTGCAGAAAAGTGCAGGTTTTGTGAATCGTCGGTGACGTATCTGGGACATCGTATTGATACCGAGGGACTACATCCGCTCGAAAAGAACGTCGACGCAATCAGACTGGCCCCGTTGCCACGAAATGTTGCTGAGTTGCGATCCTTTTTAGGAATGGTCACTTTTTACAATAAGTTTCTGCCAAATCTTTCCACTGTGCTTGCACCTTTGTATAAGCTTCTTGAAAAAGGCGCAAAATGGGTTTGGCACACGAAAGAAAACTCGGCATTTCAGAAGGCAAAGAGCGCTTTGTGTTCGGCCCCAGTGCTAACGTATTTTGATCCGCAGCTGGAGTTGCTGCTGGAATGCGACGCTTCCCCTTACGGTGTCGGTGCTACCCTGTTTCACCGTATAAATGGCGAAGACAGGCCAATTGGGTTCCGGTCACGAACGCTCACCTCAGCTGAAATGAAGTACTCTCAAATCGAGCGAGAAGCTTTAGCCTTAGTGTTTGGCGTGACACGGTTCCGCGATTACCTCTTGGGTCGGGAGTTCACGTTAGTAACAGATCACCGTCCTTTGCTGGGGCTACTGAGACCGGACCGTCAGACTTCTGTTATGGCTGCCGCACGCATTCAGCGATGGGCGCTTTTGCTCGGCGCGTATAAATACAAGCTTATTTGTAAACCCGGCAGTCAGATGTTAATCTCTGATGCCCTAAGCCGCTTACCACAATCCTTGCAGGAGCCGGAAGCAGAAACGGAAAACCTCACGGAAATGGTGCTTCTCATTGACCAGCTGGACGAGCCCGCGGTTTCGCACAAAGAACTTCAAGCACTCACAGAAGCGGACGCCGTTTTACAAGAAGTATGTAGGTACGTGACTGAAGGATGGCCTTCCGTCGCGGGTGACAGCAGAGAAATGGTCGAATACTGGAAAAGGCGACATGAGTTGTCTGTCGAGAAGGGCATGTTATTCTGGGGCCATCGGGTAGTGATACCAAGAACGGCGCGTGAGAAGCTATTGAAATTGTTGCACGAATCGCATCAGGGAGCGTCCACCATGAAGACAAGGGCAAGGGTTAGCTTTTGGTGGCCCGGTCTGGATCAAGACATCCAGAGGGCCGCTTCAGACTGCAAAAATTGTGTGCAAGCTTTGCCTATGCCCCCGGAACGGAACCGCGTCAGTTGGCCAATTTCGCGTGAGAGGTGGTCGCGGTTGCACGCAGATTACGCAGGACCTATTTCCAACAAAATGCTGTTGGTAATCGTGGATGCACACAGCAATTGGATAGAAGCCATTCCAGTATCGCGAGCAACCGCTAATGCAACGGTGGATTCTATGCGAACCTTGTTCAGCCGTTTTGGATTACCGCGCACCATAGTTACCGACAACGGTACGCCTTTTACAGGGGCAGAATTTGCTCAATTTGTGCAGAAAAATGGAATCGAGCACATTCGTACCCCTCCTTACCACCCTCAAAGCAATGGGCTCGCAGAACGCGCCGTGCGAACCCTTAAGGATGGGTTGAAGAGAATGCCCGGAGTAGAACTGTCAACGGCTCTGTCAAGAATTCTTTGTAACTATAGGAATTCGCCACAAGCTTCAGGGGTTTCGCCGTCTGAGCTACTTTTGGGTTACCGTTTGCGTACTAGACTGGATATTTGCTTTTCTCCCAGGAACCACGAATTGCCGAAGAATCCAGGTGCTGAGTCTGCGAGTTGGTACTTCGCTCCTGGAGATGCCGTCTATGTGCGCAACTACGGTGTTGGGGACAAGTGGACGCCAGGCAAAGTGAAATCGACGAGTGGGGCACGTCTCGTCACTGTAGCAACGGAAGACGGCGTCGTTCGACGTCATGTCGACCAGGTGCGAAAACGTTCATCCGACACAGGTGCAAGCCGAGAAACAGCGACTCCAGAAGAACCGCCACCCGAGGGACAACACCGAACCACCCAGGATGCTCCGAAATGCGAAGCGGATGACCTTTCCGAAAGCCCTGTCCCCGAGTTACGTCGGTCCACAAGAATCAGAAAGCCCGTGGAACGCTACGGCTCCTAGGGGGAAGGAATGCTGCAGATAACAAGTCCGGCCAAATGACGCCCCTCGGCGCATGCGTCATTGTAAAACTTTCCTTCTTTCTCTCCTCTTGCTTTCCTATATATATTTCCGAGCTCGAAATAAAGGCTTGTTGGTTTGCACTGCCACATCGACTGATTTCCTTGTCACCGCGGCCGGCCTATGGCCGGTAGAACGTAACAATGGTATTGCATGCAACACATTCTTTGCTATTATCAGTAATCGGACGGCATGAAGGCTGCATCTAGCGTGTCCATTACGTCACTGCTGCCGTGGCAAACACGGCCCGTGATGACTACATAAGGTGCGGGCTCTCTTCAGTTTTAATTTTGCTTTTTGTTTTGCAGAGTCAAGTATTTGCCAAGAAAATAGAAGGATTGTTTGAAACATGATTTATTTTTGATTCACGGTCGTCGAGAAGTTCGAGGGACTCAGAGCATCGCAATTTTCGAACGAGAGAGCATGACTTATATCATCGTAACAAAGGAACATCTGAAAATGAGATGTTTTTGCAGACACTACAGAAATTAATATCCAATATCCTTCATTGGAGACGGAAAAACTGAGGAGTCTCTCTAAACTTCCTGTTACAATACATTTAGTGCTTACAACTTAATCAATACTTTGATACGCCGCCCGAGCTCTCCTTCACGTTTGAAGTTTGATATTTTGTTTGAAGTTTATTCATCATCATAGTTTTAAACATACATCACTTCTCCAGTGGTTGAATGGAAAGGGGTGGTGAAAAGGCAACTGAATGCCTGACAATGCACCGATCCCCGCCCAGACCACAATAATGCACAACACTCAGCATGTGTGTCTAGAGCATAAATACATAGATTCAATACAGTGAAATATACAAAGTGTAGACGTAGAGCGTGGAAAAGATAAGAAATAATTACACATCTATAAATGCACTCTTTACACATAAAAGCCCTTTAAAATCCTATAAAAACAAAAACGTAGTTGTGAACAGTTGTGAGGAAGTGAAAAATTGACAGTGCGTTTCAGCAAAGCTACACGAGTTGCACTTCATTAACACACAAAAAAGACATATCACGTTTGAAGCATGAGTAGATAAGCGTGTATCTTCTTTTTGAAAATTGCTGGGGATTGACTTTCATTCACTATGGTGGTGGCCATGGTATTTGAGTTTAAAAACGAAGGAATAAGGTGCGCTAGCTTTTGTCTACCGTAGTTGGTCCGAGTCCTCTCACTGTTATAGGTGGTTCTTCTAAAGTTATACATTGGTAGTTTCCGGGAGTAAGCATCATGAAATTTAACTGCGTTTGATTTGATTTGATCGTAAATGACTGTCGCTAGCTTTTTATGAAAGATATTTTCAAATGTTAGGATTCCATGCTTAAGGAAAAGAGGAGCAGAAGGCGTTCGACGCGGAACATTCTCGATTATACGTAGCATTCTTTTTTGCAGTCGGTGAATCCCAATTTTATTTGTTTTTGTTGTCGAGCCCCAGATTAACAGGCAGTATTGTATGCGGGAATAAGCTAAAGCGTAGTAAAGTTGCTTTGTCACCCAAAGGGGTAGAAAGCACCTAATTTTTCCAATCACACCAATGGACCGTGATACCTGGTTACGTAGTTTATCTATGTGACTAGACCAGTTCAACGTTTCGTGAAAAATGACGCCTAGGAACTTTTGAGTCTGAACTCGCTCAATCGAAACTCCTCTGAATGACAGCTGCGTATTACGGAGAATGGAATGGTTTCGAGGGTGAAAAATAATGTACTTTGTTTTCTTGATATTTAGTTCTAACTGATTTATTTTCAACCATAGAGACAAATTGTTAAGCCAAAGGTTAGCTTGTTTTTCTATACTAGAGATATCCTGACCGGAAAAAAATACATTAGTGTCGTCTGCGTATAATATAATATCTGCTGTTAGAGGTACGTTTACGATATAGTTTATATATAATAGAAATAGAAGTGGCCCAAGTATGGAGCCCTGTGGGACGCCATAATTTATCTTGCCCATTTCAGACTTTGAGTGTTTTATATCAGTATATTGGAACCGGTTACTAAGGTAACTTCTTATTAAATTAAGAGACGAGCCCCTTATTCCGTATTCGGTAATCTTTTGTAGAAGAATTTCGTGCTTAATAGAATCAAACGCTTTCTTAAAGTCAAGAAATATTCCGATTGTGAGGCGTTTTTGTTCAAAATTATCGATTATTTTATCTTTAATAGATAGCAGGGCTTTTTCAGTAAACTTATTCTTCTGAAATCCATACTGATGTTCTGTAATTACTTTTCTTGAGCTACAGAAATTTGCAAATCGTACATATATCACACGTTCTATGATTTTGGAAAATATGGGCAAAACAGAAATGGGCCTGTAATTACCCATGTCATTTTCATCACCACCTTTGTGGATAACAGACACTTTAGCTACTTTTAGTTTGTCAGGGAACGTTCCAGTGTTCAAGATAAGATTGCAGATATGGGAAAAAGGTGCGCTAATATTCTCTGAAACTGCTTTCAAGGGTTCAGCCTTTAAACCGTCAAAGCCAGCAGCAGAATTGTTGTTTAAATTCTTTATCAGCACGGCTACTTCCTATTCATCTGTGGGAGTTAGGAAAATGGATTCCGGGATGCATGCTGTAATATACGATTTATAAGGCTGGACGGCACCAACGTCGTTTAGCCTTTTCGGGATAGAAGCAAACAAAGATGTCACCCAAATCAGGGTCTTGTCTGAGAGCATTCCACTCCATCTCAACATGTTTGCACAAAGTGTCTGCGTCATTGTTTGTCAAATTGGCGCGAGCCAATCGTGCCTTCATTAGTCCCCAAACATTCTCGATTATATTGAGATTGGGGCTTTTAGGAGGCCAGCAGAGCTGTGCAATGCCAGAAGCATTTAAGTTTCCTTGCACTGTGGATGCATTGTGAACAGGGCAGCCATCGTGTTGGAAATAAAAGCATCCGTCAGGAAATGGTCCATTGATGGCGAAAGGTAGGAGAACATCGTCGATGATCTCATTGTAGACTTCAGCCGTAAGTCTTCCGGGGATGCCGAAGAGTGGACCCAGACCGGCATATGTAATTGCGCCCCAGACGTTGTCCGATACACGCCCGCTTGCACCGACACTGCGAATGTTTTCATGCTCGTACCAGCAATAAAAGCGATAAATCCGTTTTCTACGCACAACATTCATAGCGTGGTAACTATGTAAAAACCGTTTCGTCGAGCCACAAAAATGGCATAGTGGGTTAGAGAAAAACGTGAGTTACTGACTAGTCGAAATGGGGAAGTGGGCCGAACATGAAATGAGAGAGAAGGATAATCCATTGTAATTAATGTTAGCAAAGTGAATTGCAAGAAAAGGCAAGCACAGCTCGGCACGGCAGAAAATCAGCTCTAGTTAATTACGGGACCATGGCCAGCAACAGGACCGGGTTGTCTAGAGTAGTATGCGAGAGACCTTTGCTGCAGTTAGGTTAGTCAGGGTGATGCTGCTGCGGATTATGATGATTATGAGTACGGTCCTAAACCTAAGAGTGGTGCCGAACCGCTGTCTGTGTGAAATGATACACAAGCAATATAAACCTCACCGGCTGCCACGGACTCTCCAAACACGAAGTCGCTGGTTCCAGCAAGAGGTGAACGTCGATTCATCACTGAAGATGACCTGCTGCCAGTCTTCAGCCCTCCAATGTTCGTGCTCACGCACGAAGTCCAAACGTTTCCTTCTATGTTCACTGGTCAAAAGCGGCTTTCTAGCCACCACGTGGCTTTTCAGACCAGTAGCAGGAAGTCTTCTTCAGATAGCCGAAAGACTGAGGGAAAGGCTAAGCTCTTCTTTAATTTTCTTTGTTGTCGGGAAAGGGTCTTTGACCATGGCAGCTATTATCAAGGCATCTTCCTCTTCAGTTGTTTTTCGAGGCCTCCTTTGGTGTGGTGCATCTTCCAAGCGGTTTTCTGGGTAAAATGCTAGAAGAATGCGGTTGATTGTCTTCTGTGGCTGGTTCACCTTACGGGAAAACTCTCGCTGAGACATAAACCTTCCCAGAAATAATTTCACGGCGTTCCTCTAATGTAAGCCGTCGAGGCATTTTCTTGCGACATGTGGTCTGGGGTTACATCCAGCATTGCAGCATTGATACCCCTGTGCAAAAACGTTTGTCACAATTCTATTGGCTGGTGAAGTCAGTATTACGATGCGATGCCTATATTTTGCGTGACATAGCACGTCACTGAAATGAAGGTTGACAAGAGCTTTCCCACCAACGTTGTTGTCGTGCGGAAAGATAACAGCCTACCAAGTTACGCTTGATCTCAACGAATTGAACAATTAGAATAGAGAGAAGGGGGGGGGGGGACGAGTTCGTCGACGGGGTGATTGTCGTAGCATAGAACAGCCAACTAGGAAGAAAAGAAAGCGAAATCTTGATTTTTATTCTTCCTAAACGTTTCGCTAGGGCGTCTGGTTGCTTGGCCGGTAGATGCTCGCGTGATAACCTTCAAATTGCACCCGACTGTACGCGCACATGATGGAGCGCAAATGGCGAGGTATAACAAGAAGCAATTTCCTACCATCCGGCTGATAGTTACGACGGTACAACATGGCATTCCGTATCGCATAATGGGGAACTTGTCGACGTAGTGCTCGAGGTAGACGCTGGCGTGGTGTCACTGAAGACGAGGAGAGAACGCCGATGAGCAAGGCCATCCAAGGTTCCTTGCGCTGTTCCAAATGCATGTCAGCAGTATCGATGCTGTCGATGGTAGCTTCGACAAAGGGAACAGGTGCAACGGCTGAAGGAAGGGGCAAATGAAAAAAAGCGTCTGCGTTGGTATGCTTGCGGCCTGAGCGGTAAATGACGTGATTATTAAATTCCCGTAAACGTAGCCCCCAACGTCCAAGCCGGCTCGAAGGATTCTTCAATGAAGCGAGTCGACAGAGTGAATAATGGTCGGTAACGACATCAAATAGGCATTCGTATAAGTAAGGACGAAATTTTTGTAAAGCCGAAACAATGGCCAAACATTCCTTTTTAGAAAACAAGTATTTGTACTATGCCTTGGTGAGGGCGCGACCGGCATACGCAACTACATACTTCGAAAAGCCAGGCTTGCGTTGAGCAATGACAGCGCCAATTTCTAT